TAAGACACGCACGTAGTGGCAGCATAGAAAAAGATTAACCAAGTCTTGGGATCCTTGAAGCACTCAATCACCCTACCAAGCATCTCATTAAATACCGTTATAGTGTGAAGACAAAATACGTGCTGATCCTTCTTGAACCGCTTGTTCTCTGCACCAGCCTGATTTACCTTGATACGCTCGACTACGATCATCTTTTCTTCCGGGGTGAGGAACCACGCGTTAGCGGGAGAATCTGGGAACATAAACCTAACCACATCATATTCAGCACATCGAGCCATCAGACACACGGCATAGATACTAAACACACCAGAACAAAATTGCAACGACAAATGTGATGATCCCAAAAATGAGCATCAGCCTACGGATAACAATGTCTTAGCCCTTGTTGAAGGCATACATATGCTAGATCAGTGACGCACCATTGCCACGGTTCGAGAACGCTCGATCGAATGTGCAAGGTCCCATACGCAATAAGCCCAAGCATGATAATCGCAGTACCATTCATAAAGTCTGTAGTAATTCGCCATCGTCGCAGTTAGCCAGTCTGCACCATGTGAAGCAGAGAGAGCATACGCACACCAATAACCTATACGTAGCGTCTGCTCCTGGCGTGTGTAGAACATGGAGGTGACAATCATGAACCCAGGTGTGATCGCACCCTCGCATATACCAAGGAAGATACGACACGCGAACAGTGCCCCAAAGCTCTTTGCTGCGGCATGGCACAGTAGTGCAATGGACCAGATCAGGATATTGACGCTGTCGACAGTCACATGTTAGCTCATACATGAAAGGAACGCATATATGCGCAGGAGAGAAAGGAAGCAGCTCACCTGACCCATTTACCGACCGGGAAGCGTTGGAGAGCGTAGTTCTGAGGGAACTCGAAGCCGAGGTAGAACAGGTAGAAGATGGTCCCGAGCCAATTGAATTGGTTCTGCGTCAGGAAGGCATTCGGAGAGTCCCTGCCGGACGTGGAGTGAATGTAAGCGCGTGTATGCACAGCTACGGAGTGGGGGCTTACAGCAGACCGAGGACAGCAGACTGGCCAAGTGTTGTCTTGTCCGCAAATTGCATCCTGGGGGTGGCGTGGGTCATGGCCGGCGGTCTGGACTGGACACGGTAGACGCTTACAGGTTTGTTACTGATTTCAAAAAAGTGACGGTTAGCACACTTTGGTGGAACTTGAGAACGCAATGGGAATGCTCACTGCACATGAGAGGCAGTACATACAAGTCAAGTTTCCGCCTGTGAAGCGCAAGTCAAGTCAGGTCAATTGGGCAGAGAAAAGTGCAACATACCGAACCCTCTTGGCCTCCACTGGATCGAGGACAAAATCGTTGCTCGAGGCGAGTTGTGCAGCGATATCGACCTCATAGGTGGCAACGACGTCGTGGTTGAGATGCTTCTTCTCGACGGACGAAGACGAGTCGTCAACGTGGACGGCAGGATGCTCTAGGTCACTCATGGCAGGATGAGACGAGAGGACGTGCATATCAAGAGCGGCGAGGTGGACCTATATAACTTACTTGATGAATTCAGAGGGCATGTCACACCCGGGTATTCGGGACAGCCAGTATTGACGGGGATATCAGAACTACATAGTAGGACGGAAGCATCAGTGCCCTCAGCCCAGGCTCCTAGAAGCGTCCGTCGCTGGAGGTTCTCGTTGAGTCCAATCCTACTTGGCACTTACTGGGGCATCAATGCATCACCTGTGGCAAGGTCTGGGTGACGCTTACATAAGATTCTCATACGCCAGAACGCGATCGAGCACTGACCTAGTGCTCGATCGCGTCATCTGAAAACACGCGTCTTCGTCCACCGCGCGCTTCCTCGTGCAGGACGCGGATGGGAGCGCTGAGGTAAGCGACCGTGAATCTTCCCGGAATCAGCCCAACTTAGTACCACTTACGACACAAATATGAACTTGTGTGTTGACAGTCTTGTACGAATGACTACATTGAAGGTGTCATTTCATGTCGTACTACGTTAGCAAACTTAAGCATCTTGGTTATTCTTAGTTTCTCCTGATGTGCAATATCATTATTACTGGAGGTTATCATGTCAAGGATCCGCAAACGTGTATTTACTCTTATCCCCAGCTGAAGACCTCAATCCGATGACCGAGTGTACCAACATCATCAAGATGGAATCTAACTTGGCGAGAAGAGGGTAGAAAGGGGGCGATGGCAGCTCTGAGTCGCGTGTCCGTGAAAGATGACGGGGACAGCGTTATGGCTAGAACACAGCGTATGAGGAGACAGAACAGCAGCTCGAGGACGGTGCCGGTGCCCCAGAAAACGTACAAACCGCCAGCGAAACCGATGCGGCGAGAGAGTGTGAGACAGGCGCAGAGGTGCTAGACGCCCTGCGCCGGGATTCTGATGGCCTCTGCCGGGGTGCCGGAACAGACTGCACCGTAAGAATCTATGTAAGATAATTCAGACACCAAGACATACATCCCAGTGAGAATTGACATGAATTAGAACGAGAAACTGTGTCATTCAACATGAGATAGACCAAATTGGTGTTAATCATATAATTCAGCTTTCTTCGCGCGTTTTCAACGCAATTCATCGAGTGACCCAGTTTCTTGATTTAACTACATATGTCATTTTCCACACGCATAGTGAGCCCTGGTAAGTCACTCCCACACACCCTCGCCCTGCCCTCAACGCGCCCCCGACTCCCCCACCCTCCTCATACGGCCGCCACGCCCTCTGCGCCGCCACGGCGTCGTCTCGCTCAACAGCCTCAAGACGGCTATCCCGCCTTCAACCCGCCGCCCTCCGCGCCGCCACTCGTCTCGCTGTTGAGCGAGACGGCTGCCCCGCCTTCGACTCGCTGCCCTCTTCACACCGCCACGCCGCCTTCAACCTGCCGCCACGCATCTCTCCACTCTTTCGCCTTTGACTCTGTATTTTTGCTGAGGGTACTGACTTTGAAGATTTGACGATCGAGGATGGTGTTTTCTGGGGCCTTGGTGCGTGCTCGCTGAGCTTCCGCTTGTGGTTCCTGCTTTGCTGCAGAGAACACCTTCGGCCTGGTCGGGATGTGCGTCAGTCATCACCAGAAGTTGCGTGGATGGACAGGAAAACGACATGCCTTTGCTACCCGGATGGCATCCATTGCAGCGGGGAATGGGCTCGCAGCAGACGGGCAGTGGCAAAGTATAGCCGACTCACACGGCGCGATGGGCTCACACCTCAATGGGCACCTGCTCTGTACCCCTCATCCATCCTGTCATCCCGCCGGGTTTACCTGCGCGCCCAGTAACACTGCACCAGCTTAATTTCCGCCATACTTTTGTCCGCCATCCATTGGAACAAATCCGGCGGTGACAGTACAGAATCGAATGGGTTTATCCACAAAAGCCGCACATTTTCATTTGGCGCAGGCCTCTGGAACGTTGATCCCTTTCCTCGTATGTTGTGCACTCGTAGCCAAGAGGCATGTTGTCGTTACAGATGTTGCCATCGCAATTCGTCATGAGGGTGCTCTGAAACGAGGACGACGCTGACCTCGTTACCCATCTGAGGCCATCCCATAGCGTTAGCGCTCTAGTGGCCGTGTCTCATGTTACCCAAGTATTGTATGGCCTTCAGAGTCTCACCGGCACTAGCACACACCATAGTACAATTTTCATGGCAAACTAGAATCATTAAATTTTTTTTTCCTTATTCCATTAATCAAGACGTCTCCGTTCATTAAGATATAAACAACACAAATGCTATAGCAAAAAAAATATTGACAAAGATTCATCCGGCATCTCACTCCTCCCCGCATCCAATCTTCTAAATGATCTACAGGACATACCTAAAGTCCCGGTTTTGGATATCTGTTAGGTCCAAGAAGGCCTGTAGGGTGGGGTTCGACATTAATGTACATCCAAAAAAGACAGAAGGCAGCACGAGACAAACCTTATCAACTTTCTTCTCCTCGCCCGTCTTCTCATCCGTCACGTACACCTCATCATACGTCGGGTCGTGTGGCTCCGCGTCGCGCCGCACGTTCTCCCGTACGAGCACCCATCGAGTGACCAGCAGCAGCACGAGACAGGTGGCCCAGCATGCAGTAAGGATCGCCCATGGGACATGGTTCCTGCGAGGTAGGCGCGATGTCAGCCGCCTTGTCTCGTGCAAGAATGAAAGGAGACTTACCGAGGCTGATATTTCGCTAGCCAGTACTGCGGCCCGACGGCATTACCAATAGCATATCCGACCATGACCATGGCGTTCATCGTTACGCGCTTCGTGTGTCCTGCTGTAAGCGACCCGACCCATGCCAGAACAACGACAAACGGCGCGATCATCGTGACTAGACAAGACAGGGCAACATTCATCAGTACGGCATCGACATTGGAAGACCGCCCGTCGCGAGACAGCAGACGCGTCAGGGAAAAACGATACGCACTCGAAATCCAGTACGAAAATAGTAGCCCGACCCTGTCCGACGATGGCAGCGCATTCACGAGGATAGAGCCGAGGATCGCCACGGCATAAGCAAGTGCAGCCGAGTATGCACGGCCATTAGGCCAGTACGTAGCGGACATCGTTGTGCAAAAAATTACAATGACTGCGCGTATAGAAGCGAACGAATGAACGCACGTCCATTAGCGCGAACAATAGATTAGAAGCACGGAAACGCACTCTCAACGACACCGTCGACACATCCGAGCAGCGTAGTCTGGAGATCGGTGAACCCGAACTCGGAGACGATGATTTGTCTCTGGTTGCTGAGCTGTGTACAAAAATCATGTTAGATCACCTCTCGTATTCTAGTACCGTAGACACGCACCGAGTTCGTGACATTCCTTCGCAACACATGGTAAGCACAACTCGGCCCACCACAAGCAGCAGGACACGCACGAAATGGCAGCAAAGAAAAAAATTAGCCAGGTCTTGGGGTCCTTGAGGCACTCGATCATCCTACATAGCATCTCGTCACAGCCCGTCCCATAATGTGAAGACAAACTACTTACTGATCCTTCTTGAACCGCTTGTTCTCTGCACCAGCCTGATTTACCTTGATACGCTCGACTACGATCATCTTTTCTTCCGGGGTGAGGAACCACGCGTTAGCGGGAGAATCTGGGAACATGAACCTAAGCACATTATGTTCAGCATGTCAAGCCATCAGACACACGGCATGTATGCTAAACGCACCAGAACAGGATCGCAACAACGAATGTGATGATCCCAAAAATGAGCATCAGCCTACGGGGTACAGCACTTTAGCCTTCGTTGCAGGCATACGCATGCTAGGTCAGCGACGCACCACTGCCACGGTTCGAGAACGCTCGATTGGATGTGAAGGGTCCCGTACGCAATAAGCCCAAGCGCGATGATTGCAGCACCGTTCATAAGGACTAGCAATTCACCATTGTCACAGTTAACAAGTCTGCACTATGTGAAGCAGAGAGGATGAATACGCACACCAATAACCCACACGCAACGTCTGCTCCTGGCGTGTGTAGAACATGGAGGTGACAATCATGAACCCAGGTGTGATCGCACCCTCACATATACCGAGGAAGACACGACACGCGAACAGTGCCCCAAAGCTCTTCGCTGCCGCATGACACAGTAGTGCAATGGACCAGATCAGGATATTAACGCTGTCGGCAGTCGCATGTTAGCTCATATATGAAAGGAACGCATATATGCGCAGGAGAGAAAGGAAGCAGCTCACCTAACCCATTTACCGACCGGGAAGCGTTGGAGAGCGTAGTTCTGAGGGAACTCGAAGCCGAGGTAGAACAGGTAGAAGATGGTCCCGAGCCAATTGAATTGGTTCTGCGTCAGGAAGGCATTCGGAGAGTCGCTGCCGGACGTGGAGCGGATGTGAGCGCGTGTATGCACAGCTACGGAGTGGGGGCTTACAGCAGACCGAGGACAGCAGACTGGCCAAGTGTTGTCTTGTCCGCGAATTGCATCCTGGGGGTGGCGTGAGTCATGGCCGGCGGTCCGGACTGGACACGAGAGACGCTTACAGGTACATTACTGGCAAAAAGGCACAACGGTCAGCACATCTTGGCAAAACTTCACAGCGCAAAGGGTATACTCACTGCACATGAGAGGCAGTAAATACAAGTCAATTTTTCGCCTGTGAAGCACCAGTCAAGTCAAGTCGATGGCGCAGAGAAGAGTGCGACATACCGAACCCTCTTGGCCTCCACCGGATCGAGGACGAAATCGTTGCCCGAGGCGAGCTGTGCAGCGATATCGACCTCATAGTTGGCGACGACGTCGTGGTCGAGATGCTTCTTCTCAACCGACGAGGAAGAGTCGTCGATGTGGGCGGCAGGACGCTCTAGGTCGCTCATGGCAGGATGAGACGAGGGGACGTGCAGATCAAGAGCGCCGTGGTGAGCCTATATAACTTACTTAATGAATTTAGAGGGCATGTCAAACCCGGGCGCTCGGGACAACCAGCATTGACCGAGATATCAGAGCTAGTGGAACGGAAGCATCAGTGCCCTTAGCCACCAATCGGCCGTGCCCCGGCCGTCTCCCACACGCCTACCATTACTCAACCCTCCGGTTCGTATCGGACGAATCTCCTGTAAATCCATCCGCGAATCGCCCACAGTGCCTTCGCGTCGGGCGTCGTGCAGGGTCGACCCAGCTCGCGGTGGGCGACGACCTGGAGGATGCTCGGGCCGCCACATGCTATATACGGCAATGCCTGGCGATCACGATCACTGCACCCGCCCAACGCCGCGTTCGACTCCTGCCCACGCAGTATATTTCTTTCATCCACCCCGACCCTGCTACCGGACCTCCGCTGAGAGCCTCTTCGACCCGGGTCTGGCGTCCCCTGCTCTCGGAAATGAATGCGCTGCCTGAGTCAATCCTGCGAGCCCAATTGCTTCTTGCCTCCAGTCATCTGCAAACTCAAACGTGTTGCAAGCCTGCAAGAACTTTCTGGCCGCGGCCTCTATCATCTTCTCCATCGTTTCATCTTTAGCTGCTATCTTCGCGGCATCCAGGACAATGGATATCCACTGCCGCACACTGCTGGCCACCGTCTGGCCAGTGATCCCACCGTTCGCCGGCTGTGAGCTCCGTGCTGACCCCGGATTGCGACCGCAGACTACCCTAGATTATAACTGCCCACTAGCAAGCTCTCTCCACCGTCTGTCGCGCGTGCCACCTATCCTCTTCTTTGGATCCTCTTCGTCTTATGCGGTCTCACTATATTTAGCTCACCTTCTCTCACCAAAGTAACCGTGACGCCTTCGCGCCCTGGAAAGTGGCGCCGCGCGACCCTTCTGCTCCCTTCTGATACTTATATTTTGGAACTAGTATGTAGTAATACTTTCCATCAATTCAACTCAAATGCGACTCGCCCTAGACAAGAAAGCTCGTCATCGAGATGTGTGCCGGGTCTATGTCTTCAATTGGCGCTACGGGGGAAGCATAATAGGACCACAATTTGGTGCGCATTCAACCATATAAGCTCCCAAGAGTCCTCGTGTCATCGCTGGGCGCACGCACGTTCCAGCTAGATTCTGCTTCCGGTAGTAGTAGAGAGCAGATAAATGTGCACAGCCGTACACATCATCTGATCCAATCTTCATTCTGGAGCTCTCTCCCTCCCGCAAACGCGCGCCATGGGTATCCTGTGAAGTTCATTTGCATCTAATAATGTCCAGTTTGGTGAGTACATATACAGACGATCCAGCCAAGACCACTCTCGCCATGAGTCACGATTGTGTCGCCTCTCATGTTCACCACAGCCCATGGCATTTCTTACGCATGTGCCGTCTGCTTACCCAACACACAATCATGCCGGATACATACGTGACATCTCCACACATGTACCTGTGTAGATGCCGCCATCTCGTCCGCCAACCTCGGCCTACCGCACTCCAGCTCTCTAGGCTCGACGTTCACGGATCCCGGCAACCTACCGCGATGATATACTCATGCGATCACTCAGACTGGGCGCAATTGAACGCGGGACCTATGTGTCATGACATGTGAACTCACAGTAGGAGCGGTACGTGCACGAACTGTCCGACCATTCCAACTCTTACCTGACATTATCTTTATCGTATTGAATCATTGATCGGGCGTCATCTCTCAGTGTCTTGGCATGTAACCTTGGGCATGAACATCAATATTACTGTACTCAGAGAACTTGAAGCTTTCAAGGTCCGCTTGCACCATGCTACATATACTTAGACGGAGATTGCAGTCCATGCACTGGGCCCTAGTTTTGTGCGCGTCAGTCCGCAAGGGGGATGGTTGAATGGGACGTCCCGTCGCACTAACGTGGTATCCTCGATTGTGCTCCCTCGCTATCTTGTCTCCTGGTTGTACGGGAGGTGAGTAAGTGCCCGTCCGTTGTTGTGTATATACTCCTACGTTTCGAATTTGAATGATCATCCGAGCCGTACTGCCGGTTACCTCTGACGATTCGGCTGTCTCACCGACATTTCATCAGATTCCAATACGAGACCATAGCCTCGTAACTGATCTCCCTCCGGAGGAAGCCGCCACTCTCCGTAAAAAATGTACTGATCGCAGTCAACCATTCTCGTAGTAGTTCTGTCCCCACAGGTACATAGCCTGTCTTATATCCGATTACCAGGGCTTCGCTCTTTTTGCCTTGGCTCGGTGGGTTCGGTTCCTGGCACACATCGCCAACTCTTATACGTCTCGTATCCAAAGTACGTCCTTTTCAAATTTTATCCATGCAGCCCACGGGGGTGAGATCAGATAAGCAGCAGTATGGGATTCTCCGTCACAGGGGCGTCGATGAACGGGGAGTTGATTGCTCAAGTGAAGAGCACGCGAACATCCCTCTTGTCGGATCCAGGAAATGGTGACCCTACAACCCTTCGACCTCGTCGCAGTCACACAGGCCGATGCTGCCGTTATCGGTAGTAGGCTGGGCTCTT